GTGGGGGGACCAACAGAATCGAAGGTTTTTGGTTTCCTTCGGTTCAGTGGTCCAAGGAAGAAGAAGGGGTTATATTTTATTGAAGCTGTTCGCAGTATTATACTGCGTTTTAAGTAAAACGCATTATAATACTGCGAACAGCTTTAATAAAATATAGCTGGGCCCAACATCTTAGTAAAACGTAGTATAGTTGCGATTTAGTAAAACGCAGTACTATACTGTGAATTACTTTAACGGAAATTTTGCCGTTAAAGTAATTCGCAGTATAATACTGCGTTTTACTCATTTATGTAACTTTTTTTTTAAAGTAATACAAAAGTATTTTTTGTCCAAAAAATAATTAAAAAAGTTTCGGACTCGACAACTTGTTTCTCGTACTCCAGAAGGACCACTTGTATGGAATTTTTTTATTTTATTTCTACAGCTCTTTGGACCACTATGATAAGATTAACAAATCTTGAAAAGAATACAAGTTTTATCCACGGCCATGTAAAAGAATTTACATCATGTATGAGATAATCATAAGTAAATTTCTATGATAAATATTAATTGATAATATTATAAAATAACTAAGTAATTTACTATGAGAGGATAAACTACAAAATTACAGTAAAAAAAATAATGTGAATTCTCCTGGAAATTATTTGGGTTGATCAGAAAAGGGCAGCTTGGACTAACTTACTAATTATAAGCTCTAATAGGTAGCTCGTCACAATCACCTTTTAATAGGTAGCTCTTTTATCCCCTAAAGTAAGATTTTTCAACGAGAACTCAAATTAATCGAGCGTGAAAGCGAGTACTGCCGGACACCTGGTGGAAAATAGAAAAAAAATAATTTTCACCGGCATCCATAGGTTTGTTTTTGACAATTTTAGTTGTTAAAATCATGATTTTGGAGAACTCAATTTATAATCTTTACCAATATAGACGCTCATTCAGTTCTGATAGTAGTGAAAGAAATATATAATGACTTATTCTGATAGTTCAGCTTAATTAATTCAAGAGTAAGACTAAAGCTCAATTTTTTTAATCTAGCACAACGTTCTTAGATTATTTTTTTGTGGTAATTATAAGGTTCTTAGATTTATAGTTTTTCTTATGTGATTGTAATTTATAATTTATTCATTTGATTTAGTTTTACTTATGTCTGCTTCACATTCATAAAATTGATTATTGGTTCTTGTTATGGAAACAATTACTTGTAGAAATAAAAGTTGAACAAACAATAACCCGTCCAGAAAATAAAAGAAGAAATAATGATTAGCAAACTAGGAAAAGAGCTAGCGGGACAGCCAAAAATACAAAAATAAGTATTTTTTACAAGATTCAAAATATTTGATTTTTAGTGTAAATTCAAATATAAAATCTTCAAATATAAAATCTTCAAATTTAAAATATATATATATATATATATATATATATATATTCGTTAGATAAAAATTATAAGTCATAATAATTAACAATTCGAAAATATAAAAGGCATATGCAAAAAATTAGGGTAAAATAAAAATTTGTTTCACTCTCTAAATAGTAACTTCATCACATAAACGGAGATAAATGGAGTAATTATTAGAGTAACATAATACTACTAATATACTTAATATTTGATCCTAATGGATGAATATTAGAGTTAAAGCTCTTATTTGCCCCTCGGACTAAATGAGGAAGATTCATGCGCTGACTACGGAAGATTACAAAATAGTAGTAGTACTAGGTAGCTGTAGTTTTAAGCTGTAACAGTGCCCCCATGATGTTTTTACCTTAGTTTTGTACTACGTTTGTCAAAAAATTCATGGTTCTTAATGATACAGTAACAACTACACAGTCACTTCACAATGTCCTCTCCAATGGTTACTCGACAACACATCCCTACAACGTAACGAATACTCACTCTTTGTTTTAACTTTTCCAATGCAGACTGTTTCTTCCTTTCCCTAGGAGGTCGTTTGGTAGAGTCTTTCAGAGAAAATAAGATATTAATGCTTTATTTGGTATACTTTTTGTATAACTAATACAAACATTACTTATGCACTCTATTTGATATTATCCTATGTATAGCTAATGCATAAAAAACCATGACATTAGCTATATAAAGGCTATTAAAGCATGCATTAGCATGATTAAAGATAAAATTATCCTCGAAGTCCCTTAAGTTAAAGAATATGGAGGATATTTTTGTAAACAATTAAATTTCTTAAAAATTATGCAATGCATTTTAATTTTTAATACATCACACCAAACAATGCATACGAAATAATCTCTGTATAACTAATGCTTGCATTACTAACCCATGCATTACTAATGCACCTTATTTAACATTATTCTTATACGCCCTACCAAACGACTCTTAAAGATTCCTTCCTCTTCTTGGTGCGTCTTCTCCATATATGTATGTACTCTCTATTATATATACCAAGCTGCGTAATATAAGTATAGTCACCCTATATATATTAATTCTCCCATATACTTAGCTTCCTTATTACTATATTACTTTAATCTTCTTCTCTAACTGCTTGACTCCTAAAACGCACAAAGATTGCAACTATATGTACCACCCGGTGAATAACCTATTACATTTACTGAACCTTGATTTCCTTATTGCACCTTTTTTTCCTTGAAGAATTAGCTGCTTTAATACATAATTAGGGTTTCTTCTTCACTTTTTGGTTGCAGTACTCCAATATAACATATCCGCAGATTCATCAGATCTTAAAGGCTGTGAGTTTTAACATTGTGTTTCTCTAGACTTTTTTTTTTTCTCCACATATCTATCCTTATATATGGGAGCTACGTTTAAAGAAGGGGTTCGATTGAATTCTCTTAATTAGAAAATTATACTAGAGTAGAAATATACATACATACATATATATATATATATATATATATATTTGTATAACATTCTTGAATTCTCTTAACATAGAGGAAGGTTTTATTGTTTCGACAAAGGTTGTTCAAAAATTTTCAGATTATAATTTCAGGTAATTTGTCATTTTTGCTCTTTTGACTTGTTAGATTTCATGACTTCTCCATTGATATGTATATATATAGGTTTTGTGAAGTGACTTTAGATCCGCCTCGGATGGGGAGGGGTGAGAGGCGGATGTAGTGTAATGACTACGAGATCAACTAGACCTATAACTTTTGACGCAGAGTAAAAAATTATATTTAAAATTTTATTAAAATTGCAAAAATAATATATATGAACCCATAACTTTAAAAATATAATGGGTTCAATATTAAAAATATTAAAATTGAACCTATAAAATTTAAATCCTAGATCCACTTCTGGGAGGGGTAGGGTTGAGATGAAGCGGATCGAGAACAAGATTAGTAGGCAGGTCACTTTCTCAAAGAGAAGGTTAGGTTTGTTGAAGAAGACTCACGAGATCTCCGTCTTGTGTGATGCTGATGTTGCTTTGATTGTTTTCTCTGCCAAAGGCAAGCTCTTTGAGTACTCCACTGAATCCAGGTTAATTCCTACTCTTTTCGTTTATTAATTCTTTTCTTTTTGGTGTGTTTGAGAGTACTTGTGTATTTTTTTTAAAATATAAATTCACCTTAAAATTTTCTGTTAATTTGTAGCATGGAAAGTATCCTCGAAAGATACGAAAGTTACTCATATGCTGAGAGGAAGTTGAATGCAAATGACTCTGAACCTAAGGTGTTTCACATTCATTTCCCACAATTATTTACTACTAGTACATAACTTTTTCGTCCTCTTCATGGCTTGCAATCGTAATAAAAGAAAGAGCAACAGCACTCACCAATCCATCAAATGAGCTAGAACTTGATTCTTACACATGTTTTGATAGTTAGAGAAATCAAGAGAAAAGAAGGGGCGGTCGAAGAAAATTCTTATATTTCAATAGGATAATATATAGTAAGTGACAAGGAAAGAAAGAAGATATACTATCAACGTGGATAGTCATTTTCTTGTTTGATCCATTCATTTAAATTATAAGTTGTTGGGCTCAACCAATTCGAAGATATTATTAACATGACGTGATATTATCCGCTTTACGTCAAACTCGTATGGTTTTCTCCGAACGTCTCACACCAAAGAAATCTCTATACCTCTTACTCTTGTATGTGCATCTCCAAGCTCGTAAGGGCAAGCAAACCGAGCCCCAAACCATCACTCAGCTACCGCCATACTCGTCTCGTAGGACCTGGGCACGGGTACTAATTGTTGGTTGTCGTGCCTCAAGTATCCCGAAGATACGGTTTTCCCCAAAACCCTCACACCATTAAAAATTCCCTAAATCTTATATGTAGGTTCCTAATCTTTTCAGCTATCAATGCAGTTTGTTCGCATGCCCAACATAAGTGAAGGAATTTGATGTGTGTTATGTGAAGTAATAATGACAATTAATCTCGTAATAGTACTAAATTGGTAGGAGTATAAAGCTTCATCCTTAAGATGCTATGGTTAGGTTGTCCATGGCAAAGGCATATAATTTTATAGAGATATATACCATTTTTATATTTTTTTTTCTTCTCATCTTGTTTACAAGTTTTTGATTTCTCCGTCTGTTTTATTGATATTCTTATAGGTTTTATCCGTGAACATTCAAATCTGGTGGATATTATTAGCTAACTTTGCAACAGATTAGTGAAAAGAAGATGAAGACGGTTATCCAATTAAACTGAATTTTTTCTTAAATATTCACATCCCATGGCTACTTTTTAGTAAGTTATTGCACTTGTCTTAATTTGTATCAAACTACTATGTTTTTGTTTTAGAAAAGCATTTTTTGGATCCAAACCTAGATGTCGGAGGAAGGTCGCGGTAGGTGGAAAGCATGAAAAACAGTCTAAATATGATGAATCCCGTGAATATATACAGGGATTTAATGGAACCACTATCAACTAATTGAGATTAAGGGATATTTTATCGACTAATTGTGAAGGTTAGATTTAAATTCCCCTACTGGCTAGTATTAGATTTTGACAGATAACACATGTACAATATATAGGAGTCTGTTTAACATCTACTGTTCAAGTGGATTTATTTAGTTAATTAAAATATATAAGAGCAGCCAAGAAATAATTAAAGGAAAGCAGTAAATTGCGCAGCGAAGAAGAAAAGGGCTTTTAAGATTATAAAATTTGATGTATGTTGAGAAGAATAGATTGACAACAATAATTTATTTATAAACATGATTTTCCTTTTGCCTCATGATTTCACAGCAAAACTGGACTATGGAGTACCCAAAGCTCATGTCAAGGATTGAACTTCTACAAAGAAATATAAGGTAGCTACCTACTTCACTTCTTCTCAAGCAGAAGGGAAATCCTTCTTGATGCGTTACAACCATATCATTGTAATTTAACTCGTTGGTGCCTATGTTATATACATATTTTTCATGTTATTAGTTTCAATTATTATATATGTACAATTTCTTATAGTTATATCTTTTAAATAATGCAAAAACAATCACTCGGTTATGTGGATGCAGGCATTATATGGGAGAGGATCTGGATTCCTTCTGTCTGCGAGAGTTTCATGGTTTAGAGCAACAACTTGATACAGCTTTGAAGCGAATACGCGCCAGGAAGGTCAATATCAATCACATTAATTAACCTCGATCCCTTTTTCATATTTTATTTTCCTTCTTAAATACTAGTTAATTGCCATCATTTGGAATATTGTGTATATATCTCAACGAATATTATATGTGTGTTGCCGCAACTCTTTTGATATCAACAAGTCTATCACTTGAATTTGCAGAACCAACTGATGCATGAGTCCATTTCCCAGTCGCAGAGAAAGGTCAATTATATAAAAATATCTCGTGGTAATTGAAAATATGAAGTTGATTTCAGTTATGGTCATTGAGCTTTATCCACTACAACAATATGATAGAAAACTAACTATTCTGTATCAAATTGAAGTAATGAGAATTTGTATAATAGAACAATAGAATCACGAAACTACTTATGTCACACTAAAGTAACTGAACAATATGTGAATTGTTCGGATAATATATACGACTGAAATGTCAAAATTTACCGTGCTGAATAATAGTTTGGTTTCTTCTTTTTTGGTTCATCTAAATGTTCCTTATAAGTGTCTTTTATTTTACATAAAATATGGGTTGTTTATGGTTTTATATGGGGATCGATCTTCTTAACTTTCTCTCTTTTGTATTTTCGGATTTGCATATTTAAAATCAAGTGCGGAATAACATAAAAGCCCACTATTCCCGTTTCTAAACCACCCCACCACATGGAGCCGCTGGATGGCAAGATTCCGGCGCGTGTAGAACACCAGAGAGATCCCAAGGCCAGTACGAGTCAGACACCAGAAGGAATTCCAACGAAACTCTCTTATGCTAACACCATCAACTCCACACCAAACCCAACTAAGCAAGAGCAGGAATCAGTGATAGTGAGAAGAACAACCCATAATGGCATGCCAACGGTGATTTTTAAGACTAAGGATTACTATGGAGTCATGGTTGCGGAATGCAGGAGAACGATTGTGGGGAGATTTCTGAAAACCCGCCCCCAAATTGAAAAAATTAGGTCGAGGTTCTTGGAGAGATTTCCATTAAAGGGCTCGTTCAAAATTGGAGTCTATGATAACAACAATGTATTTCTAAACTTCACAAATGATAGAGGACTATAGCTCGGTGTGGTATAGAAGATCAGTGGACATTGAAGGAAATCAAATGTGGCTACAGAAATGGAGCCCAGACTTCAAACCAGAGGAGGACATGCCCATAGTTCTGGTATGAGTTAATCTTCCTAAATTACCTTTCCATCTACATACATGGCACTATGTGAAACAAATTGTAAAAGATGCTGGCACTCCGCTGGAAATGGACATAGCTGCACGAGGGAAAACTAGGCCTAGTATGGCTAAGGTGAGAATAGAGGTTGATGTGCTCAAACCTTTGCTAACTAGTGTTTGGGTGGGAGATGAAGATGATGACTCCCCTCTAAAAGGATTCGAGCAGAAATTGGAGTATGATAATGTACCAAAATATTGCAAACACTGCAAGAAGCTGGGACACTCGATGATGAATTGTCGAGTCTTGGAGAGAAGAAGAGCTAATGAAATCAAGGAATTAAAGGCAAAAGACAGTGAAACAATTGCAGCAGGAAAAAGCTTAGAAAGGGACAGAGTTGTAGTCGAAATGAGCAAGGGAGAACCAAATGCAAATGACAAACAGCAGCAGGGAAATCAAGTCAGGCAGAAGGAAGTAAGCAATGAAGACAAGATTGATTACAACAAAGATAATGAGAAGGAGGAGGCCAAGGCATCTGTTAATAAGAGAACAAAGCAAAAGAAGGGCAAGAAGGAGAAGAAAATACCAAAGAAAAGAAGCAAAGTGATCTTCAAAACAACCTAAAAGAGGACCAAGAGCAGGGAAATTCTGAAGCAAATACCAATCCAAAGTGTTAATGAAAATACTGATGAAGTTAATGAAAATGGGGAAAGCTCAAAAGTAGGGTAACAAGAGGTGCAACAACAGGGAACCAACTCACCAGGGGAGAATGACAATAAAGATGTTAACTTATGTCATACACCTCAAAGTAGGAGGCCTCAAAACACTGAACTGGAAGATGAACAAGTGACAAAGCAGAACGACAGCATTCAAAGGGTGGAGGAAACAGAACTAGACACATCCAGTGTTGACACAACCATCAGAAATCAGTAAGGAATCCACCGAGTTGTGGAGTTGAATGGGGGTCACAATATGCCACAAGAAAGAGACAAAGAAGAACTAGGCAGTGTAGGAGACTCTGAGACAGTAAAAGAACATGCAAAATAAGGTTTTAATAATTCAGATCACAAGATGACAGGAAGTTAAACAAAGACTGCTTACCAACTGAAAGAGGAAGAAGTCAGCAGAGGAGGGAAGGCAGAAACCAAAGGAACAAAGAGATAACTCCCCCTACACAGAGGAAGGGAGTAACAAAACCTTTAAAAAATTGTTTTTTATGATAAGTGCGATCTTCTGGAACATCAGAGGAGTCAAGTCGAAAAAGGCCATACATAGACTAAAAAATCTAATCACTATCAACAAAGTTGCTTTTGTAGCCATTATGGAGCCGTTTGTTCAGAAAGAGAAGATTGAAGGATACAAAAAGTTTTTGGGATTCCATCAATGTTTCTCCAATGACAATGGCAAGATATGGTGTTTCTGGAAAACAAACTGTCAAACAACTATGATTACAAATGAAGACCAACAAATAACAATAAACATCAGTGAAGGAGGAGAAGGCAATGGATTGTTTGTAACTGCTGTTTATGCTAAGTGCACTTCTACTGAAAGAAGCGTGCTTTGGCATAGTCTAGAAAGGTTAAATGCAATGGTGAATGGCCCATGGTGTGTGGGAGGGGATTTCAATTCAATCCTAGACACAAATGAGAAATTGGGATGAAGGTCATATAGAATCAACAAAAGCATTGATTTTTCTAATTGTATGAACAATTGCGAGCTACTAGATGCTAGATATGTAGGGGTTAATTTTACATGGTGCAACAATAGAAGACTTTCAAAGAGGATTTGGAAGAGATTGGATAGGATCATGATCAATGACCTATGGCTTCAGAAATTTCAAAACAATAGTGTTAGGCACCTTGTTAGAATTGGCTCTGACCATAGGCCACTTCTCATGAAGTGCTTCAACAATCAACAGGAACCTTCAAGTACTAAAGATTCATGGAATTCTGGACAGATCAAAGTGGTTTTCATGAGGTAGTACAAGAAACATGGAACATGCAGGTCACAAGTAATCCAATGTGGTGATTACAACAGAAATTGAAGGCACTTAGCAGAAGATTGGGTGTATGGTCAAAGGAAGAAATTGGGGATGTACATATGAAATGCAAAGAATGGGAAACAGAAGTGCAGATATTGGAGGAGCAAGAACTGATCAGTAATGATGAAAGAACAAGACAAGAACTGAACAAAGCGCATGCGGAATATGTCAGCTGGCTAGCTATGCAAGAATCAAAGCTCAAACAAAAGGCTCAACAAAAAATGGTTTGAAGCAGGAGATTACAACAACAATTACTTCCATAGTGTGATAAGAGAGAGAAGGAGAAGAATGAAATTGAAAAAGATCAAAAATCATAGAGGTAACTGGATTCAAGGAGATGAAAATATCAGTACTAAAGCAGCCATCAGACATTTTAAGAAACTCTTCAACCTTAGGCCAACCAAGGAAAATAGGAGGATCCTGGAGTGCATTCCTACTGTAGTCATACAAGCAGACAATGAGTTTTTGACTTCAATCCCTGGAGAAATGGAAGTTAGAGAAGCTTTCTTTACTATGTGTCCTAATAGTTCAGCAGGTCCTGACGGATTCAGTGGGTTATTCTACCAGAAATGTTGGGAAACTATAAAGGAAGATGTCATACATTTCGTGCAATATTTCTTTAACGGAGGTCACATCACCAAGTACTTCAATCATACATGCCTGGCATTGATTCCCAAAACAGACCCCCCCCCTCCACTTTCTCAGAAATGAGACCTATAAGCATGTCCAAATTCTCTTTAAAAATAATTTCAAAAATTCTTTCCATGAGGTTGAATCTGATGCTTCCTTCAATTATATCAGAAAATCAGAGTGGTTTCATAAAGGGTAGATCTATAACATAAAATGTGCTTATGGCACAAGAAATTATTCAAGGAATCAATCAACCCAACAAAGGTGGTAACATGGCTATCAAATTGGATATGACAAAGGCTTACGACAGACTGTCGTGGTCTTTTCTTACCTCTGTGTTACGAAGATTTGGGTTCAATGAAGTGTGGATAGATATGATATGGCAATTGGTTTCAGATGTATGGTACTCAATCATCATAAATGGAGCGAGAAAAGGATTTTTCACATCGTCTCAAGGACTCAAACAAGGAGACCCAATATCTCCTTCATTGTTTGTACTCGCTACGCAGATGACATTGTAATCTTTACGGCTGGTTGCTCTAAATCAGTTCGAATGATTATGAAAGTGGTGAAGAAATATAAAGCGGCATCAGGACAGCTTGTCAATCATGATAAAAGTTGTTTCCTAACTGATCCTAAACCTCACCATCAAGAATAAATAGAATGAGAAGCACGACAGGGTTCTTGAACAAAGAGTTCCCATTTGTGTATCTAGGCTGCCCTATATTTGTCGGGAGGAAGAAGATACCTAGTCTCCAAGGTATCTAAAAGGCTTAACGGATGGCAAGGGAAGATGCTATCACATGGAGGAAAACTAACTTTAGTTAAACATGTTTTGCAGGCAATTCCAACATACACCCTTGCTGCGATGAATCCACCAAAATCTACTTACAAAACACTAGAAAGATACCTTGCAAATTCCTTCTGGGGAGCAAACACTGACAAGTCCAAATACCATTGGAGCTCTTGGAAGAATCTGTGCTATCCCAAGGAGTAAGGGGGGATTGGCATCAAGTGTCTTCAAGACATTGGAGACACATTCACAATCAAAAGATGGTGGAGTTTCAGAACACAGCAAAATCTATGGACTAACTTTCTTAGGGCAAAATATTATTCTAAAGGCCACACAGTGGCATTGAAGGGGGCAGCTAAGCAATCACACATTTGGAGATACATGATGAAGATAAGAGGTAAAGCAGAACCTAACATATTTTGGATGATCAACAGAGGAAATTGTAGCTTATGATGGGATAGTTGGACTGGCAAAGGACCCCTAGCCAGCACTTACCCATCATACTCAAAGTCTTCCAAGCCAATGGTGAAGGACTTCATTAGAAATGGAAGTTGGGATCAGTAGAAATTAAGGAAAACACTACCAGACAATCTGGTTCAGCAGGTACAAGCAGTCACTATTAGAGATCAAAGCAAGGAAGATTATGCAATATGGGATCTGGCAGCAGATGGAAATTTTACCAACTTCTCGGCCTGGCAGATTACTAGAAGGAAGAAAGTTCCAAATCCAATACTCTCAAAAGTCTGGAATAGGAACTTACCAGCAAAGATCTCTATATTAGCATGGAGGTTAATGCAAAATAAGCTCCCCTTCCAGGATGTTTTGATCAGATTTGGAAGTCAAACAACATCA